CTGGACCTAAGAGCGCATTCATGGCAGCCTACCCAGCAGCGCCGCACACCAAACCAGAGCTGTTTCCATTATAGGTTTATTTATTTATTTGTTTATTACAGGTTTTAAAATACTTGTTCTAACTAGTACTGGGAACATTTTGAAAGAAAAAATAAAAAAGAAAGATTTTGCTTCTCTAAAACCAAAATCAAGCAAAGGTTGGGGATGAAATGTGACTCTGATATGAACATATGAAATGTTTCGTTTAGAAAGCATCAAAACATTTCAACTTCTCACACACTGTTTCCCCCTGCAGAGACTATTTGATGACTGTAGGAACTTGGGAAGTGGCAGTGACGTGCCAGGATTAGCTGAGTGCTGACCAGGAGAAGCCAGGGCAGCCCATGGGGAGCAGGCAGCCGGCGGGGCAGGCAGCTCCGTCCCTGCTGCCCTTCGCACACCGACACACCGGTGCACACAGCAGCCGGCCACCGCCTGTGCACAGCCTCCCACCCGTCTCCAGAGCCCTCGGGACCCTCTCACCCAGCCTCGGCTTTCATAGTGGTGTATGTTTTCCTGGCCCAAGGTACCTGTGTCCTCAGGATGCTTTCATGAAGGCTCTGGTAGGAAGGCTACAGGCGTTTGGTTTCAAGCATTACTTTTATCCTGTGACTGACCCTGCACCCAGACATAGCCTTAGCATGTGGCTGAAAGTTCAGCACATGCTAAAGTACCCATAAGTAGTGAACCTCAGTCTCCTCAGGTGTTTAGAGGGTTTTTTATTGAGCACCAACAGGGAGGACAGCTAGTGTTTAGAAGCGACATTTCTAGCCCACCAGGAGCTACCCGAGGCAACTTCCCATTCAAGCCCATACCTTGCAGTATGGCAACTACTCACCTCAGGCTCAAGCAAGAACTCCAGAGACCCAAATCTCCACAGCCCACCACAAAAAGTGTTTGCATTTATACAGATCTTTACACAATCAAAGAATTTTGCAGTCATCAACTAATCTAGCTATATCTCTCATCAGTTTATTCCTTTGCCCTTTTTAGTGGGTAACTGTTTTTAAAGCACTAATGTTTTTTTTAATCCCATCGTGTTCTAACCTGCTCGGAGAGCTGAGTTCATCACTGTAAGGGCTGGCTAGGATTTAAAGAAAAATAGAAATGAGATGCATTTCTCTTTCTTGTCGATTTCTTTCTTATTAAAACATCTAATGTGTTAAAGGGCAAAACATTCAGTAGCTGAATACTTAAAGATTGGTTAAAATCCCCCGTGGTCTTGATTTTTATGCTCTCTTAAAAATTCCATGCAGCAACAACATCAGATGTTTGGGATCTCTCTATGAGTTCATATCTCTGAACGCTGAAGTCCACCAGTCTGACAGCTGGGAAATGGAGTGATTTGCTAAAGGGCAAAGGGAAAAAAACACACCTTGATCTGACAGGGGAGTATTTTGCATCTGTTTTTCTCCTTCTCTTATCCCTTGTTATGCAAGGCAAAAAAGATGTTTCCTCGGGTCTCTTTTCCCCAGCAGTGTTGCCACGTTGTACCCTCAGGGGATTAGTGGAGGGAAAGTCTGCTGAAGAAGAGACCCAGTGCTTTGACTCCATGTCATCTGAATTTACTTTTCTAGGGTGACCTAGAGCCTGGACCAGCAACCAGCCACCATATCCAGGCTTACCATCAAAAACCCATGGCTTCCCGAAACACCAAAGGTCCCCACCACGGCGAAGGACAACGTTTGGGTTCAACCCTGATGTTCAATCCTGAATGACCAGTGCCTTTAATGAACCTGGAAGGCAGCATGGCCTGTGCGGGTTCAAATGCCGGGCTGGGGGGCTTGCACTGGCCCCCCCCGCCGCGCCGCCGGCCTGGTGGTCCACATGGCTGGCGCTCCTCAGGGCTCACCTCCTCGGGCAGGCAGCTGCTGCTCAGCATGGGCCTCAGAGGGACTGCAGACAGGGGGTTTCTCCTCGCCCCAAATGGGAACAGCTCTGAGGCTGCATGGGAAGAGGGGCAGCACGACAGGGGCAGGATGCAGGCAGGGTTAGGCAGCAGAGCACTGACGGCAGGTCTTTGAAACGCGTCGGCACATCATCTCCACCTGGCTGGGGTTGCCTCCCCCGGGCTCTGTCGTCGCCTCAGTGCTGTAGCTATGAGCGGCGTGTAGAAAAGGGGACAGGATTTGCTATAAAGGAAAGAGCAGCAAAGAAAAACAGCAGGTCTCTTCCCTTAAATGTCTCGCTGCTGCTGAGGCTGGGGAAGCTCAAACAGGGCAAGACGCCACCTTGTTCCACCCATGGCGGGGGAGAGGGCAGCGGGCGTCATGCTAACACATCTCAAGCCCTTAATGTTTTCCAGAGAAACACTGAAGGTGGTGGTACTGCTGCTCTCAATGGCTCTCAGTAGGCGGGAATGAGATTATAAAGGAATCTCCCCTCCCTCACCCTTCTGCTAAAAGGCTTTGATTGATTTCCTGTAGGTGTTGGTGAAACCCTTGGCACCATAAAGCATCTGAGGTACTTGATTAGATATACAGCTGAGCTTAAAACATATTTTCTTTTTTTAAATTGGTGGATTTGTATGCGAGTCATGCTATTACAGCAGGGCTGTCTCCTTAAAGAAGAATAAGGCCTCAGGTAATGCCTTATTTTAGTAGAAAATGTGGCCTAATGGGATTTGCAGATGACCTCAGAACGGCAGGCAATACATCAGGTTGTTTTTCACCCTCACTTGGCTGCTGAGTCACAGGTTGCGTCTCCCCAGCTGCCCTCTTTCTCTGAATACACTGTCAGGTAGCTGTTTCCACATCCTGTTAAAAAGAAGGGTCTCTTCACCGCAGCAATAATTTTGTCCCCTGCCCCACCCAAGCCTGAACAACTCTAACTCTGGAGCAGAAATAAAGCTGCATAAACTCTGCAGCACACAGGATCTAAATTCAGAACCGTATCTTCCAAATACAAGAAAACACAGGTACTAAATTTTGTAACAATGAAGCTTCTGCTGTGTCAAGTGAATGCAAAGTCATTTGCACTAAATTCAGGAGATAAGAATACATCAGTCTAGTAAATGGTGTTATTATTTTTCATTATTCTGCTTTTCACAAGGAAGAGTTTCTGAACTTTTTTGTACTCTGCCCTCGCTTCTTAAAATGCCGTAAATATTTTTATCTACTTTTACATTTTCCCAGGAGAGGGAGCTGGAGATTGTGGCTGGGTGGGTGAAACTCTCAGGGGTCAGGAATGGTTTGGGTTATTGGCATTCAGGAAAAAATGGTGGCATTTCTTACACTGTGCTGTCATTTGTTGTTGAAAAGAGCATGCCCTGAGCGCCATGACATACTAAATGTAACCACCTCCTGGCTCTCTTGGGCTATTCATCTTTCCGTTATTTCCCTCTTATAAACCAAGATCCTAAGAGCAATAAATAATAACATCAGGCACTTGAGGGAAAAGTGACCAGAGAGAAACAGTTAACATTGGTATTTACATGGATCAAGAGATGATCGGTCTGTGTACACTGATGATTCAGGAAGATGGTACTGAATTAGGGCCATGCAGAGGTCACCATCGCAACCCAGCTGGCTAACACATCGCTCTCTGGACACAGAGAATCTCTAGGCACACATTTCTCATAAATCTGCTCTAAATACATGGAATAACCTCTAGGAATTTTCAGTGGAGGTTCCTGCGCTTCTGTGACTCACTTTCCCTGTAAAAGCTCAAGCCACTGGAAGCTTGCATGGTTTTCCCCTTTCAGTGTGATACCAGAGGAACCAGTGATTGCACCAGGGACTATAAGTGCACATAACTGCCCATGCAAGGATAATACAACACAGTTACCCATAAATTTTGTCACCCACTGTGCTGACAAGGTCAGATTTTTCAACAGTTGATGCTCTCCTTTGAGGCCCCTTTGTGCTTTGCCAGTGCCTCCTAACACCACCCAGGCTCATCCCACTGTCTTCAGACTCCTCGTCCTGACTGATGGACACTGCTGCTGCCCCGATGGCATTCTCTGTTTTTCCACTATCCTCTTTGCTGTTTGCTACCTTTGCATCTTAGTGACGCACTTTCCTTCGCCATGCAACTCCTCTCATGCATGCCCACTCCTCTGCTTGCAATTAGCCCTGCATTTGAACAAAATTACTACCCTCTGCAAATCCTGAGAAAGCCGAGCTGCTGCAAAGTCTGTGACAGAGAGCGAACAAGGCACAAACAGTCAGACTGAAATCCCCTGGCTCCGCTGAAATTTAAATCCATTTTAATTTCTTTTGGTGAGCTCACTTTCTCTGGCAAAGGAACCAGCTCAGCTCAGCTTTCTCAGGACCTTAAGGAGGCAATTTTTTTAGAATAAATCACTAATTACGTTATTAAACAGCTGCCGTGTTAT